AACAAAAGTTATTCACACATTTCCTTTTTAAACCTAAATGAACACTTCATTGTTAATGTATGCCTCACTAATAGCTTTGGAAAAGGCAAGATAACTAGCTACCTAACCGCTAAGGCTGCAACCCCCTTGATTATTATGTATGGGGCACAGTTGAGCAAGAGACTAACAAAACTCCTTGTAACACCAAAGATGAACTAAAGGCAAGCATTACTGCAGCATTCATTAACTTAAACAAGGAAACCATCTAGAAGATTTGCAGGAGTTTCTAAAGTTGTCTGGAGGCTGTGGTTGAAGCCAGTGGTGATCTTATTAAATAAATTTACTCTTTAATATTTCAAGGTAATTTTGTGTAATTATGGTAAATGCATTTTTTTCATAATTATGTTAAAATGAAATGTCAGGGTTATTTTCATTTTTGTGTAATTTAGACGACAATTTATCCATCGCACAATGTACATCTTTAGGTGAAAAGATGTTTAAGGTGGATGGATGGCATCTTTTTTTTTATGTGCCATGTCCTATGGCCAATCATTACTCTCCACCTCCCTTGCAGCTATCAGCAAGTTCCTTCCCTCTGCTTCCTCCCTCAGACCACGTTCTGTCATCCACCTGCTCAAGCTTGCCAGGTATGTCACACATTGCTTTCCCTTGTCTTTCTTTCCCTCTATTTGACCCGTGAGTATCAGATTCTCCAGACCCTCCTTCCTCATTATGTGTCCTAGAAACTTCAGCTGCCTCTTCTTGATGTTAAGCATAAGCTTTCTCCTTCTTCTTGTTTGCAACCTCTCTAAGACCTCATTGTTGCTCACATGCTCGGTCCATGATATCCTTAGCATCCTTCTGTAGAACCACATAAATCATGGATGGCATACTGTATCAATTTCCAGCAACTCCTGGAACTGTACTTGTACTAAACTGCAATGGTCTATCCTTTCCTTTGTGCTCTGCTGAAAAGAGAGGCATCTTGATGTATGGGATACCTAAGATCTGCATACCACCTTCCCAGGCCAGTCATACTCTATGCTACACCATCATCGTCTGAGGTGAACAGATACTAATGCACAGGGCAAAAGTCATATACTAAATAAATGCTTAGATAGGAAGTTGTGGAGAGCCATGATCGCTTATGTCCTGAAGGGGTGAGGCACATTTTCTTATATGGCAGTGAATTCAGTGGTTCCATAGAAGGATACTGAGAATCCCATAGATAGAGGAAGTAAACAATGAGGAAGTCTTAAAGAATCAGAAAAAGACGATTGAAATTCCTTGGACACATAATGAGGAAGGAGGGCTTGGAAAAATTAACCCTCATGGGGCATATTGGGGGTAAGATAAGGGAAGGCAGTGAGCCACTTATCTGGCAAGCTTGAGCGAATAGATGGCTGTACTAGGGACAGGAGCCTTAACAAATAGGGAAAAACTGCTAATGAGCCATGATCACCAGTGTCCTGAAGGGGTGAGACACATATAACATGTGTAAAAATGATCCCAGTGCCTGTTATTGAACATAATGTCATATGTTGATTTTGTAGGAAGATCATCTTCTTATATGGCAGTGAATTTAGTGTTTCTGCAGAAGGATACTGAGAATGGAGCAAGTAAACAAAGGAATTCTTACTCATGTCTTGAAGAACCGCAACACATAGAAGATGTGCAAAAGCAATCCTGGTGCCTGTGATTGAACATAATGCCATATGTTGATTTTGTAGGAAGTCCATTTGCTTATATGGCAGTGAATGCTGGACAATCTCCCTATAAATGAGGAGAAAACTGTTCTACAGAAGGATACTGAGAATTCCATGGGCGGAGTGGGTAAGCAAGGAGGAAGTCTTTAAAGAAAATGGTAACAGAATGAATACTTCTACTCAGAATCAGAAAAAGACGATTGAAATTCCTTGGACACATAATGAGAATGGAGTACTTGGAGAACTTAACCCTCATGGGGCATATTATGGGCAATAGAGATTAAGGAAGACAGCAAGCCATTAATTCATTAATTTGTGTGAATGGATGGTGGAACTAGGGGTAGGAACCATAGAAAGAGAGAAAACTTGTGCTAAGTGCCACAAGGGGTAAGAAGTTGTGGAGAGCCATGATTGCCCATGTCTTGAAGAGCCAGAAGGATACTGAGAATTCCACGGATGGAGCGAGTAAGAAAGAAGGAAATCTTAAAGAAAATGGTAAAAGAAAGAACACTTCTATTCAGAATCTGGAAAAGACAGTTGAAATTCCATGGACACACAATGAGCAAGGAGGACTTGGAAATCTTAACCCTCATGGGGCATATTATGGGCAATAGAGATTTGGGAAGACAGCAAGCCATTAATTGATTAATTTGTGTGAATAGATGGTGGAACTGGGAGCAAGAACCTCAGCAAATGGAGAAAAATTGCAAATTGCCACAAGGAATAAGAAGTTGTGGTGGAGAGCTATGATCATTTTTGTCTTGAGAACTGAGAGTTGTTATTATATATATATATATATATATATATATATATATATATATATATATATATTGTGTATTTTGGCAGCAAATTCTCTTTTAGGCATGTCTGATTAAATAAATTACAAACATTATATCTACTTATTTTTAGCAAAATCTATACATATTCACAGATATTTTTCCGTGTGTTACAATCAAATGTAAGAAATGCATTGTAACAGTGAAAATCATTTTTATTTCCTAAGACTTTCCATCTCTTTTGGGGTGCAACTAGTAAGGCAAAAAACTATGTGTATCTATCCATTACTGAATTTTAATATGAATGGATTATGCTAAAAATAAGCAGATGTAAAGTTTGTAATTTATTTAATATATATATATATATATATATATATATATATATGTAAAAAAAAATGTATGTATATAACTATATATATATATATATATATATATATTTATATATTATATATGTGTGTACCTATTGGAAAGCCCTCAATATCAGTGATAGAGCTAACATATTTAGTTGTATTGATCAATCCAACTATATATATATATATATATATATATATATATATATAAAGAAGAGAGAAACCGCAAACGTTTTGGGTTGTAATGTGGATTTTTTTTTTTTAAATGTTATGCTTTATTTTTCATAATTTTACTACACGTGTTTCTGATCTCATGACAGTCATCAGGAAAAGGGTGGAGGAGATTTCCACATATTATTAAAAATAATTCATTTTTTCTCCTTTATGTTTTTCGATGTTAAGTATTCTCAATATGAGACATTCTCTTTTTTTGTGTGTCCAAATGTCTTTCTTGAACAAGCAATGAAGAGTTCTGCGTGAAGCGTCAAAAAACAATTAAGATTGGTCTGAGAGAAATGATGTATATATATATATATATATAGTTTTTGTCTTTGTTCTCTTTTTTCCTGTTTTGAACAAATTACCATTTTGTGTAACATGGAACAATGAATTTATGTCATAATATTTGTTGTTTTCTTGAAAGCTGTGTAAAATCATCAGTAGTCTCCCTGCAGGATGTACATTGACTCAAAAAAAAGCTCAAATATAATAATATAAAGGAAGAAACTGATTTCAACATTAAAAGTGGATGTTTGGGTGGTGTAATGGATAGTGCCTCAGAATGAGAAATTGGAGTGCCAAGTTTTAATTCCACTCATCACTTATGCACAAATACTCTTAGGAAATGTATGAATACATCTCCTCCACCAATTATGGGTTAAATAGTGGGGTGTGCATCAGGAAAAATCATTGTTATTCTGAAAAAAATAAATGTTAATGCACTATTCATTTGCTAAAAAGAATTATTCTTACAATGAAAAATGTCTTTTAGCATTAAATAATCCACAAATTTTAAAACACAAAATCAATCAATCAATCAACATTAAAAAACCCAACAAGTATTGATATGTTGCTAAATCAGATAAATCAACACAACTCATCATTCTTGGAGCCAGTACATGTCTAAAGAAAACTCTAAAAACACCAATTCTCAAAAATCTTGAGAATGAGGTGTCACAAGTGACATCACAATAAAATATTCTTAGTTTTATAATTTTGTTTGGAGGGTTGTTTTTGTTTAGCAGCATAGCAACACCTCTATGGGTTATTTGATGCCAAAATCTAAATATTTTGTACATAATTTTATTTTGTTTTAGATAAGAATGTTTTGCTGAGAGGAGTTTTACTAATTAACCCATAGTTAGGGGGAGAAGAGATTCATATCTTTACCATTATTGCACACTAGCAGTAGAGCCCAGCATTGCCCAGGGATGTAACAGTAAGAGATAGATCAAATATCGACCATCATAAAGACTGAAAAATAAAATTGACAAAGATTATTGTTTAAGGTTGACAGACATGCATGTCTTAATTAGTTTTATTTTTTTTTTTTTTTTTTTTACGAATTGGTCAAACCCAAACTCAAACAAAATATTTTCAATCGTTATGAGTCTACCGATTGAATAGAATTTTATTATAAACAATTGTCTTGTAAATGGAATTTTTAAAGCATTCTGAATGTAAAAATAAAGAAAAAAGTGTGCAAGACAATAAGAAACATCACCTGCCAAAAAAAGTGAAGTTTTGTTGAAATTGGTTAAAAAATGTATGAAATACAATCCCATATATAAAGGAACACACACACACACAAAAAAAAAACAACCTAGGTTTTATAATAAGTATAACTCGATATGAGTTGTCCCCCTTTCATTCTCGTGATGCCTCTTAATCGTGTTTCCAAATTGATTTCATGCAAAAACAATTGTGTTTTTCCAATTTTTGGCACTGTCAGAACCACCGCAAGGTAATTTTACGTAGTCCTGTGAAGTTTTGTTGAAATCGGTTGAAAAATGTAAGAAATCCGATCCAATATATAAATGTACAGACACACACACACACACACACACACACAACCTGGGTTTTATAATAAGTATGATTTGTAAATATAATGAACCCAACTGGAATTGAAGCATGGCTCCCTGATCAAGAATTCCAAGCTGTCATCCATTACACCACCCAAACATTTAAACATACAGCACCTGGTATTTCCAAGTGGTCACCCATTTAGGTACTGACCAGACTTGACATTGTTTAACTTCTGTAATCATACCAGAACTGGTGTTTCAACATGATATGACCGTAAGCTTGGTTTTATAATGTATTTAGACAAATTTAAAACCGTGCATAAGCACAGAATAAGAGTCAGAAAGTGGCAATAAAAAACAACTGAAATTATGATGAAAGGAATACTAAGCACATGAATAATGGTTGACAGAGAATTTTAAATAACATTAGTACACTTGGATAACAAGTATTAGTGTATTTGGAATGTAATTAGGTATTTCACTGCTATGAATTATTAGTCAACCAAGAAAAACAGAACTAAGATTGAATTGTAAGAAATTTTATCTAAAATTAGTCTATCATATCATCTTTCCAAAAATATATCATTATCATGCATTTCAGAGTTTAATTGTGAAAACACACAAAGAGAGAAATTGGGTTCCTCATGAGTTTTGTTTGAGAACCAAACACAACGTTACACTATGTTGCAGTCTTTTAACCAGGAATGTCGACCTTTCATTTTTGCATCACATTGTTACAGCTGATGAAAAATGGGTTTTGCATGTCAACAGAAAGGAAAAAAGAATGATTATCACAAAAAATCAGGAATCTGTCCACTTTGTGACTGGTAAAATATGAAAGGTGTAAATGGATGGAAGAACATGAATAGAGGATATATTGAATATGGAAGAGGGAACTAACAAGTTAACAACCTAGCAAGGTTGTGTAAATAGAAATCAGAGATTAGAAGGGATTGTCAGAGGATAAATATTGCTTAGAGCTACAAAAAATAGGATGTTGGGGAGAGCCATGATCAACTACTTGTCAAGCTTGTGCAAATGAATGACAGAACAAGGACAGGGAGGAATAGTCAGGAAATAAAAATTGCTTAGAGCTACAAAGGATAGGAAGTTGTGGAGAGCCATGATCAACCTACTTATCAAGCTTGTGTAAATGAATGACAGAACAAGGACAGGGAGGAATAGTCAGGGAATAAACATTTCTTAGAGCTACAAAGGATAGGAAGTTGTGGAGAGCCATGATCAACCTACTTGTCAAGCTTTTGTAAATGAATAACAGAACAGGAACTGGGGGGATAGTCAGGGGATGGGAAAAAGGAACAAAAATGATGCTTAGAATTAGAAACAAAGACTTGAAATTTCTGAGACATATAATGAGGAAAGAGGGCTTGAAGAATTTAACACTCACAGGACATATTAAAGGCAAGAGAGGTAGAGGGAAACATTGAGAAACCTACCCAGAAAGCTTGTGTAAATGGATGGCAGAACAGGTATTGTAAGAGATAGTAATTGGATAATCATTGCTTTGAGCTACGAAGGATAGGAAGTTGTGGAGAGCCATGATCAACCTACTTGTCAAGCTTTTGTAAATGAATAACAGAACAGGAACTGGGGGGGATAGTCAGGGGATGGGAAAAAGGAACAAAAATGATGCTTAGAATTAGAAATAAAGACTTGAAATTTCTGAGACATATAATGAGGAAAGAGGGCTTGAAGAATTTAACACTCACAGGACATATTAAAGGCAAGAGAGGTAGAGGGAAACATTGAGAAACCTACCCAGAAAGCTTGTGTAAATGGATGGCAGAACAGGTATTGTAAGAGATAGTAATTGGATAATCATTGCTTTGAGCTACGAAGGATAGGAAGTTGTGGAGAGCTATGATCGCCTATATACTGAAAGGACATGGCAAATAGAAGAATAATAATTAAAACTCTGTTTTCTCTTTTAGATTGCCATTATCCATATCCCATTTATAAGATTATGGTTTCAAGTTGATTGAAACTGACTTCTTTTATTCTAAGACTTTTCCTGAGCTTATAAATGTATATTAAAGTAATATTTGTTCCAGATGAGATTATCCAGCTAAAAAGAAATTATCCAATCTTTAATAAAACCTTATGAAGTGTTTTCAACCAAAAGTCTTTGAGAAGTTTTCCCTTTGACAGTAAAACTTTGGTTCAGCTTATTGCAATTTTATTACTACTTTTACTGTTATTCTTGATTTCTAACTCAGCCTCCTGAGTTGACAGACTCTTTGACTTCGCAAGTAAAAAGTAGAAACTCACAAATAAAATAATTTCTCACACCCCAGGAGCCTATGTTTTAATGGACATCACTATAACCTTGCCTCTTCTGCCACAAATATTACTCTTCATAATTTGATGTATGCTATGAGCAATTTTTCAATATATGGAACTTGTTGGTGCCATAAAGCAGACAAGAATTGTTGCATGGAATGAAACCAGTCTGAATTGATTGATTTATTTTTTGTGGTTTATCAACCTTTTGCAGGTTTTGAAAACCAGTAAATGTTTCTAGATTATATGATTTTCCAAGGATAATAATGATTTACTGATACAAGTCCTACTATTTAACCTATAGCTGGAGTGGAGGAGAAGTGGATTCATACCTTTTCCAAGGATATTTGCACATAAGTGAATATGATGAACTAGACTGGAATTGGAACTCAGCTTTCTGATTCCCAATTCTAACCCATTATCAATGACACTGCCCACACATCCATAATTACTGACACAATATTATATCCTTTTTCTATGCTGTTGTTAGATTTTGTATTGCCAACAAAATCTTTAGCTAGTATAATTGGTATCCTCTTTCAATTACACATGAAACAATTCTTATTTTTTGGTGTGTGTGTTGTTGAGCTTCTATGTATGCTTTGAGCGGGTGAGGATGCTTGCATATTTATTTAATGAATTTCATCCACACTGGGTGAGTCACTCTTGTAACTTACTATGCTTAGCTTAGAAAATACGAAAATAAACTCTTGAAAGCTGCTTCCACATGTGGCACATTCTTCCTCATGTAGCACATTCTTCCACATGTGCACATTCTCTATACTCGCTTGTGAACTGAACATGTGAGCAACAGTCAAGTTTTAGATTGATTGATTGATTTGTTTTTTACAGCTTATCAACAGTTTGCAGGTTATTTAAAGCCAGAAATTACTTTAGATTGTAAGAATTTTTATTTTTTGGAGATAATAATGATGTAGTGACACAAATCTTGCTAATTAACCCATAGCTGAGGAAAGAATATTTGGAAAGGTCTTAGAATAAAAGAAGTTGGTTTCAATCAACTTGAAGCCATAATCTTATAAATGGAATTTGGATAGATTGCTCACAGCATACATCAAAAGAAGATGTGAATTCATACTTTTCCCATGGGTATATGTGTGTAAGTGAATATAACGAACCCAACTGGAATTGAACTCAGCTCTCTGATTATATTCCAAGCCATTATCCATTACACCACTCGGACATCTAAGCATTCAGCACTTGGTATTTCCAAGCAGTTACCCATCTATGTACTGACCAGGTTTGATGTTGCTTAACTTCAATGACCAAAGTTAAGTAATATCCAGGTTCTGTAAGCCACAAGGAATATAAGTGTGAGTCACTTAGTGTGGATCAAATTCATTATAGCTAAAAATAAATATACACACATCCTTACCCTCTCAAAGCATGCATAGAAGCTCAACTACACACACACCAAAAAATAAAAATTCATATGTAATTGAAAGAGAATATCAATTATAATACCTAAACATTTTGTTAGCAGTACAAAATTTAGTGATAGCATAGAAAATGAATATAATATTGTGTCAGTAATTAATTTGTTTATCACTCATAATATATTCTCAGTATTTAAGTAATTTCAGTGATGTTATAAAAATGAAATGGTGGGTAAGAAAATAAATTAGTCCAAGATGATATAATGTACTTGATTGTATAATATATTGAATATAGCAAGTTATTGCTTTAAAAAAAATAAATAAAGGAAAATTTGTATTGATTTGCTTCATGGAAAAAAATTAATAAACATCTTTTTAAAAAAATGTTTGTATTTAATGAATTAAAACAAGAGCCTTTCTTATAATGTTGGTGTCTCCAAGGACTGGCAAGAAGAAAGCAGTCTTGTTTTCTAAATGCTTGTAAAGCACCAAATTTGCTTAAATACCTTTTTTTTTAATTATGATCATAATCTTAAAATTAAAATGTTGTGAATTTAATGAAAAGAAAAATCAATAACTGGTGTGACAAAAAAACAGATAAGGTAACATTGATATGCTTATAAAACAATGTAATCAAATGAACCAGGCTCAAAAATGGATATATTGACCAGGTTTATAAAGAGATATATAAACCAGTCTGATAAAGCAATGTAATGGAATAGAGCAGTTTTATAAAACAATGTAATCAAATAAACCAGGCACAAAAATGGATATATTGACCAGGTTTATAAAGAGATATATAAACCAGGCTGATAAAACAATGTAATGGAATAGAGCAGTTTTATAAAACAATGTAATCAAATAAACCAGGCTCAGAAATGGATATGTTGACCAGGTTTATAAAGAGATATATAAACCAGTCTGATAAAAAAATGTAATGGAATAGAGCAGTTTTATAAAACAATATAATCAAATAAACCAGGCTCAAAAATGGATATATTGACCAGGTTTATAAAGAGATATATAAATCAGTCTGATAAAACAATGTAATGAAATAGAGCAGTTTTATAAAACAATGTAATCAAATAAACCAGGCTCAGAAATGGATATATTGACCAGGTTTATAAAGAGATATATAAACCAGTCTGATAAAACAATGTAATGGAATAGAGCAGTTTTATAAAACAATATAATCAAATAAACCAGGCTCAAAAATGGATATATTGACCAGGTTTATAAAGAGATATATAAACCAGTCTGATAAAACAATGTAATGGAATAGAGCAGTTTTATAAAACAATGTAATCAAATGAACCAGGCTCAAAAATGGATATATTGACCAGGTTTATAAAGAGATATATAAACCAGTCTGATAAAACAATGTAATGGAAAAGAGCAGTTTTATAAAACAATGTAATCAAATAAACCAGGCTCAAAAATGGATATGTTGACCAGGTTTATAAAGAGATATATAAACCAGTCTGATAAAAAAATGTAATGGAATAGAGCAGTTTTATAAAACAATATAATCAAATAAACCAGGCTCAAAAATGGATATATTGACCAGGTTTATAAAGAGA